TCTTGTAGCAGCCTGATTTGGGTTCAGCAGAGCTCCAGCTGCTCCAGGGCAGGACAAAGAACATTTTCTGGGATCTGAGCATTCCAGAAGCTCCCTTCCAACCTCATCAGGCTCACTCAGCCTTTCCCTGGCTGTGCAAGATGTTTCTGGGGAGGAGCTGTCACTGCAAGGCAGGGATTTGCAGTTTCCCTGGATCTCACAGTCATTCCTGCTGCTGCTCCCCCAGTGGGATTTGTTCCCTCTGAATTCCCGCTGGAAGGAGTTTTTAGGAATTCCTCAGTAGGTGCCAGAGCTCTGCTCACCCAGTGGGGTTTATTCCCTCTGAATTCCTGCTGGAAGGGGTTTTTTAGGAATTCCCCTCTCAGGTGTTGGCAGCACAAGGTGCCAAAGCTCTGCTTTGACTGTGGCACTCCTGATTTATGATCCATCCGAAGGGGGAGAGATTTGGATGCTGGGAACAGCTGGGAACAACTGGAACAGCTCCGGGGAGCTCCAGATTCCCTCCTTTCCAGCTGGGAGAGGCTTTTATGGGAGCACAGGAGATTTTAGGGTGGGAATTGGCTCCCACGTGGGAGAGTCACAAATCAGCTGGAGCTGGCAGTGGTGCAGGAAGAGGGAGGGAAGCTCTCCGGAAGCATTCCTGCTCCTGCAGCAGGGATTTCTTCCCATTGACTGCCCTGGGAGCTGGCTGGGATCCCACTGGGATGAGCTCACTCTGAGCTGTGAGGAGCTGGAGCTGCTCTGGGGGAACTTCGGCAAGGAAGGATCTCAGAGATGCTTTTTAGATGGTGACCGAGAGAGGTTTTATGTATAACTTTTTTGTCTAATTTTCTGCATAATTTTCTGCCTATTTTTTTGCCTAATTTTCTATACAATTTTCTGTCCAATTTTCTGTCTAAACACTCATTTGAGAGACCAAATGAGCCCTCCCCACACACAATTCACCCTGCAGAAAACTTCTTTATTTTCCTGACCATAAAACCCCTCAGTCTATCTGTTATTGTGCCTGAATTTCCCTGACAGAAAAGGGAGGAAAACCAACTGCACTTCCCAAGGAAAATGAAGGCCGTGGTTAATTAAGGTAGCTTTGCCAGCTGGGAGGATGAGTGGCTGCTTTTAGAACACTTAATAGTGGGAATTACAGTTTTTATGCTTTTGTTTCCCATCTCCTGGTGGTTGCCAGAGGTAACTGAGCAATTTCAGGTCACGTTTATTACTTTTTAATCCCCATTTTGGGGTCGGGTTTCTGCCTGTGTTGGTGTCAGGGAACAAAGAAATGCCAAGCAAAGCACGGCCGCTATTCCAGCCTGGAGGAAAAGCAGGAAAATGCAGCCAGGCCTCTCTGGGAATGTCTGCTGATCACTTCATGCCTCAGCTGTGGTAAAAGGAGATTATTTCATGCTGAATTTATCCATGGAATCCATGGCTGTGCTCACTTGAGAATCCCTGGCTCCTGCCAGAGGTGGATTCCTCATGGAATGCTCGCAGTCTCCATGGGAAGGGATTTGATCAATTTAGGGATCTAAATTGGATCAATTTAGGGATCCCAGCTCTGTTAGGTCTAATCATTGCTCCAGCCACCACCCAGCTTTTTTAAAGCTGTTACAGGAGCCAGAGGTGGTGAAAATCCAACTAAAAAGAGAATTTGCAGCTGTCCTATCCCAGCCCCTAGCTCGGGGGAACATTTTCCCTTTGGTTTTGTCCATTCTCCTCTCCAAGCACAGCCTAGAAAATCCAATTCTGGTCTCCCACACAGCCCCAGCCTCAGCCTGTGCTGCCACCAGCTCGATCTCTGCAGCAGTTTTCCAGGGATCCTTCCCCTGGATCCCTTTCCCAGGGATCCTTCCCCTGGATCCCTTTGGGATGCAGTTGATTGGGATCCTGGCTGGAGCTGGGAGCAAGTCAGAGGAGGCAAATTCCATTCTTAGAGCTCAATATTCTCATCCCCGTGGAACAGAAAAACGTTTCCAGTGAGATTTTGGCCACATTTGGTGGATTTTTGCTGTTTCTGAGCCATTTCTCTAAAACACAAAGCAGAATGCACAAAACAGAGCCCTCTGGGCTGCGGGGAATCGCTGCTGCTTTCTCCCTGGCAGAGGAGAGAGCCTCATCTCTTCAGTGGGAAGGGCTTTGGATGAGGCCAGGGATTGTTTTCCCTCCCCTCCTGCCGGAAAAAAGCCTGGCAGAGCTTCAGCAGGAAGAGCAGAACATCAGGAAACGTGCAGGGCACGGAGCCAGGCCGTGGCTCCAGCTGCTCCGGGGCTGCCCAGCCATCAGCCCATCACTTGATTCCATTTCTGTCAGGGTTTTGAAAAGATCCCATTCTTGGCCAAGCTGGATTCCTGCAGCTGGGAGAGGCTGTGCTGAGCATCCTGGAGTGCTCCTGGGATTTGCTCAGGGGGCACAAACGCTGTGGGATGGGATGGGAATGGGAATGGGTGGGAAGCAGATGTGGATTCCCATTCCCAGATTCCTCCGGGGATGGAGCAGCTCGGCAGTGCTGAGGTGGCATTTCCTCATCCCTGAGGAGTCATTCCAGGTCCTCAGGCTGCTTGTGTAACTCACAGGGCTCTGCCTTTCATCCCTGACACGCCAGGGGAGCAGTGGGAGGATGTAAATTTGGGAATGGAGCTGGCAGAGCCTTCAGCTTGTGAGCAGTGGCACTGGAATCAGTATTCCTCAAGGAAATACCAAAAAATTCCTTTTTCCTCCAGGAAAACAGGATCAGTGGGCTCTGGAATTGCACCAGCAAGAAGGAAAAGTATAATTTAAACCCCAAAACCCAGGGATGGACTTGGATGTGGTGAAGGATGGGAAATCAGGTGCTAATCAGGAGATGCAGAAAGAAAAATCCTTGAGCAGCAGGAGCGGCTGTGTGGGAGGAGTTAGGATTGAATATTGGGATCCCTTTGCTTTTCACTTCCAGCTTATCCCAAATGGAATTGTGGCTGTGCTGACCCAGCCTCACCTCAGGCTCAGAGTTCCTCTCCCCAGGAATTTCCTTGGGATATAAAAATACCTGAAAAGGATGGATAAATGTCCCCCTCTGCTTCCTGGGACTCCATTCCAGCCAAGTAAATCTCTGGCATCTCTGCCTTTGGATTCAAACCTTTTCCATCAAGCCCATATCCCAAATAAAAAGCTCAAATTTCTTGCCCTCTTAGCCACAGCCCCTCGTGTTCCCCCCTCAGCAGATCCCAGCCCCAGAAACGTCTCCTTCCTCCACAGAGTCCAGATTTATCCATGGGCTGGGATAAAAATGGGGAGTAAATTATAAATGCTCTCTCCATCTCCTGGCAGGAAATCTGCTGCCAGCCTGACTTTCAGATTGCAGATTCCACAATGGCTGCTCCTGCTTCCCTGGAAAGAAAAGCATTCCCGGAAAAACCAGCTCTTCCCTCTTTCCAAGCTGCTTTTTGTGTCCAGCTATCAGCAGCACGAGGAAACCGAGTGGAAAAATTGAATCTGGCAGCAGGAGAGCGACGCATGAAGGCACACGAGTCCCAAACCCGGGGAACAAAAATAGCTGAGAGAGGGGAAAAAGCCTGAAAAGAGCCTTTTTAATGATTCCTTTTCTTTCCAAAAGCTTTGCCCCGGGCACAGCCACGCTGCTGTTTGTGTGGGGCAGCCACGTGGGAGGCAGTAGAGCAGGAGCTCCACATTATTCCATGGAAAAGCTCCTTGGTTTTTTTTTTTAATTTTTGTTTTTTGGCTGTGTTTTTCAAGGGCTGGTGGTGGCAGATTGATGGTAGCCAGAGCCCTGGGCATTGGGCTCCAGCCTGGATTTCATTTTCCAGGGAGTTGGAGGGAGTTTAGGATTCTGCTGGGATTCTGGAGGATGCTGGAGGAGTAAGAAGGGACAACCCAGCAGTTTTTCACTGGAGAATATTCCTGGGATGAAGACACCCAGAGCCTCAGAGTTAGCACAAATCCAGATGGTTCCTGCAGGAATTCTGCTGTTCCCCTTGGATTGGGGGTGTCCTGTCCTTTTCCTGAGAGCAGGACCAGCTCATGTCCCTCCAAATCCTGTCCCTGCAGCTGGCACAAGCTCAGGGCTGGGTTTTTTTCAAACCTTGGATGGAATATAACAGGAACCAACCTTTTAAATCCTGATCCCACGGACCTAAGAAGCTCCCTGAATAAAATTTGGATTTCAAATCCTTGGTGCCAGGGGGTGGTGGGAGGCCTGACCACATTCCCAGATGTGTGGTTAAAGAAATCAGCAGCCGAGCGCTCTGCTGGGAACGCTCTCAGCTTTGCATGGCTCTCTGCTGGACTCTGGCCTCCCAAAAATCCTTCCAGAGCCACATTCCTGACTCTGGGAATGCCTCCTGCAGGTGGCTGATGTCATGGTGATGTTTCCCTTGGAGAGGGAGGCCCGCTGACCTTTGCAGCTGGGCTCTGGCAGCCCCTCGCTGTCACATCTGCCCGGTGACATGGAAAAGAGGCAAATCCCAGAATCCTGGAGTGGATTTCTCCCTATCCAAGCAAAGCCCCACGTGTGTGGAGGAGCCTTTTAGTGTTCAGAGGCCAAAGGGCTGCTCTGTTTCTGTTTGAGTGGTGGTTCCTGAGGTTTAAAGGTGATAATTCAGCAATTCAAGGGCAGCTACAGCCTGGAAATGGGGTTTGGTGATGCTGGAGCAAGGAATTTGTGCCTGATGGGAATGCATGGAGCAATGTGTGCTGTTAATGAACAGAACGAAGCCGCTAAATGAATTTGCTGGGGGTGTCTTCCCAGCCCACCTGAATTTCTCCATGGTGGAATCATCTCCATCTCTTTCCCCAGCCCTGGAATTCATTCCTGAGCCATTCAGCCCCGAACTTTTGGAGCAGCAGGAAACATCCAAGTGGGAATAATGAGTCCCTCCTCCTGTCCCTACAGCTCTCAGCCCCTCTGATCCTTGTTCACCCCTCCCTGGCCTCTTCCCCAGTCATCACGAGCCATCAATTAACCCTTCCTTGCTGCTAATTAATGACTCCTCCTTGCTGTTCTGTTGTAGGGCAACCATCGATGAGGTGGAAACAGATGTGGTGGAGATCGAGGCCAAGCTTGACAAGGTGAGGGCAGTTTGTGGCCTGAGGGGGACTGGGGGAGCCCCTGCTCAGGAATTGGGTCCCTCCAAGTGTTCCCTAAAACTCTGAGCCCATTTCCAGCTGTTAAACTGATGTTTAGGCTTGTCTCCAGGCCTGGGGCTTGGCAGGGCTGCTCTCAGCTGGGACAGGAGCCCCAGGCAGGCTCTGCTGGTGAATATTGACCTTCTCCTCCCGCTGTAGGGTCCCAGGGGGGTCCCACTGCCTCGGGGGCTTCTCCCAGTGCTGGCTGTCCCCTCTCCACTGCCCTTGGTGACACTGGGTGGGCTGGGAGGTGTTTGGTGTCCTCCCAGGGACCCAAGGGCCACGTCCCAGATGCTGGATGTGCCTGGTGTTCAGCCAGACCCTGCAGTGGGACCTTGGAAAGGCCGTCTCAGGGACCACTTTGGCCATTTTGCATTAGGCTGCTGATTCTTAAGACCCAGTTTTTAGTCCAGGTCTAAGCTTGTGATGGAAATTGGCTTTTCCACCCCCACTCCTCCTCGTCTGAGAGATTGGTTTTTTTCTAAACAAAAATAGAAAGAGATGAATAAGAGGAGTCAGAAGAGCTGCTGGCTTTTTATCTGTGAGATTCCCCCCAGGCAGGCAGGGATGAAATCCCGAGTCTGAGGGAGAAGGGAGCTGGGTAGGAGCCACAAGCCCTGGGCAAGGCTGTGTCCTACAAAAGCTATTTCCCCATAAGCTGCTGGGAGTGCTTTGTCTGCACTGGTGGCACTGGGGGGGATGCAGAGGGATTTGGGCTCTCTAAATTTAGAGAGCAGGGGGTGAAAACTGCTCTGATTGTGGCCCAGTGCCCTGCAGGGAGGGGATTTGAAGTGCCAGGAGCAATCCTGGAGCTCGAAGTGCAGGAGTCACTGGCAGCCCCAGCTGGAATTTGCAGCTGGAGAACCACTGGGAATTTGTTCCAATTAAATTCCGATTCATTCCTCTGAGGGTAGCTTTGGACCAGACTCAATCATTCCCATTCCTAATAAATCAGCCTGGGATGGCCCAGATCCTCTCCTGTGGGAGATACCCACCTTTTCCAGGTGGGAATGTTGCTCCCAAAGAGCTACCAGGACTGGCCTATCAAAGCCTGACTTTACTCTGCCTTTTCCTGTGCCCTGAACATTGGATTTATGAATTATTATCTTCCATCACCTGTTCAACTGGAGGGAAAACAGTGGTGATAATTCAGCCAAAGATTTCCCACATTTTATCCCATTTCCAGTGCTCCCTTGGGGTTGGGGTTTGGGACTGGGGTCCTGAGCTGCTGGGGACACAGCCTTGGCCACGGGGCTTTGTTTGCAGAGGTGCTCTGGAAGCTGCCACGTTGCAGGAGAGGCTGGAATTCCTTTCCAGAGACTCCATCCAAACCCCAAGTGCAGTCTGGGCTCCAGATGTGACAGGAACTGCAGCTGTTTGCTTTTCTTCCCAGGGTTTGGAGGGGATCTTGGAATTGTAGGGGCAGGGGAGGGTGTGAGCGAGGGCTGGAGGTGCAGATGGGCCACGTGTGACCCCAGATATTTTTATTTATGCACGCAGATCTCCTCTGCTCCTCTCCTCTCCTCTCTCCTTTTTACAGACCTCGTTCTGCAGTGCAGACAGAGCAAACCCCAAAACAGACCCCAAAGCCTCAGGGCTGCAGGAACAGAACTAAACCCCAAACCAGACCCCAAAGCTTTGGGGCTGCAGAAACAGAACAAACCCCAAAACAGACCCCAAAGCTTTGGGGCTGCAGGATCAGAACAAGCCCCAAACCAGCATCTGGGGCTTTGGCATCCAACCAAAGTGAAAAACTCCTCGTTCCCAGCCTGTAGGTGAGGTTGGTTGGCAGGGAAAAAAAACATTTTTCATTAGGAAAATGAATATCCCTACAAAGCTGCTGGGTTTTGAGGATGTAAAACATCACTTTTCATTATCAGCAGCGAGTTTTCCACTTCATTCAGGAGCCCAGGACAAGGGTGAGGTAAAACAAAACAAAACAAAATAATGCCAAAAACATTTTCCCAGTGGGCAGCCCTCGCTGTTTCATATATCCTTTGTTTTATGGGCTTATCTTTAAGTTGTTTTATGTTTAAGTTGTCTGAAAGGAGAGAGGCCAACGGCCAGGAATTCCAAGCCAAAGCTCCACTCCCAGTTTGCTCTGGAAGTCTGGGAATGTTCCCTGCAGCTGTTAAATTACCCAGAATTAATAAAGGCTGTCTGGGAGATGCAGCAAATTCCAGAGGGGGAATCCACCTCATTTTTCCAGGTTATTTCCCAGGTGACATCCCTATAAAAAGGCCCTTCCCAGGTCCAGCAGAAAGGCTGCCCTGAGTCCCAGAGGTGGAATTCCCAGGAAAAGATTCCTGGAGCTGCAGGAGTGTGGGGAATATTTCATTTCTGTGCAGCGCTGATGGTTTCAGCTGGGAGGGAGCACAGCCTGGCACTGGCTGCTCACAGCCCAAGGGGGTTCAGCAGCTGGGGAAAGGAAAATGGGATAGAAAAGCAGAATTCTGGTTTCCTGTCACTCAAAAGCAGGAGCAGCCCCCACCAGTCCCCACCAGTCCCCACCAGTACACACCAGAGCAGTCAGCTGGGCTCTGATTGATGATCCCAAAGAGATTTTAGGCAGTTTTTTCCATTTTCTCTGAGCACCAAGGAGCCAATCCTGGCTCCTCCTTGGCCCATCTGTGTGATCGGGTTCCCTCCACGATGGAGCAAGCAGGAGAAACCCCCTGGAAAAAACAGGATTCTGGATTCACCTGCCCTCAGGGGAGAGCCTGGGACTGCTGAGTGACAGAGGGAATGTCACAGCAGCCAGTTCCCTGGGGCTGGGATTGGCGTCCCTAGCCTGCCCCGGGGTGGGGTTGGAATCCCTGGGGCTGGGATTGGCATCCCTGTCCAGTGCTGATCCTGTCCCCATGTCCCTGTCCCTGTCCCTGTGTCCCTGTACCCGTGTCCCTGTCCCTGTCGGTGCAGCTGGTGAAGCTCTGCAGTGGCATGATCGAGGCTGGCAAGGTTTACATCACCACCACCAAGCACTTTGTCAGCGGCGTGCGGGACCTGTCGCAGCAGTGCAAGAAGGATGAGATGATCTCGGTGAGGTTGGGCTGGGCCGGGGATTCGGGGAGGGCTGGGGGCTGCTCAGATCCCTGCTGATCCCAGCTCTGATCCCAGATCAGATCCCTGCTGATCCCAGCTCTGATCCCAGCTCAGATCCCTGCTGATCCCAGCTCAGATCCCTGCTGATCCCAGCTCAGATCCCTGCTGATCCCGGCTCAGATCCCTGCTGATCCCAGCTCAGATCCCTGCTGATCCTGGCTCAGATCCCTGCTCTGATCCCTGATGATCCCGGCTCTGATCCCAGCTCAGATCCCTGATGATCCCTGCTGATCCCTGCTCAGATCCCGACTCAGATTCCTGTTCAGATCTCTGCTCAGATCCCTGCTGCTTGGAATGGATCACAAATCCAAGCCCCTCATGCTGCTTAAGCAGCCACTCAGAATGAGGTTCTGTGTGTGGGGGATGCAGTGGGTGACACCAGGCTGGAAGCTCAGTGAGATGCCCTCAGAACGAGATCTGATGTGGGGGATGCAGTGGCTGACACCAGGCTGGAAGGTCGCAGTGAGATCCATGACTTGCAGGCAGACCCAGACTCTGAGGAAGGGCCGGTGCTGCCGAGGCTGTTGCAATCTAGGTCAGTGAGCAGCAGGGATTTGGGAGGTGCCCACGCAGGCACACGTGGAGCTCAGCTCTGGACTGGCAAGGAAAGGCTCAGATGGCTCAGAAACCTCCCTGGCAAGCAGCACTGACTGCTCAGAGCCTTCCTGAGCCTCTCCCTCAGCCCTGGCAATGAGGGGCGGCTGCTTCTCTTCCTTGCCACTTCTCTTCACCTTTTTATTTTATTTTTTTATTGTTTTTGCAGGAGTGCCTGGATAAATTTGGGGACAGCCTGCAGGAAATGATCAATTACCACATGGTAAGGAGCTTTCTCCTGGGTGCTGGTGGCATTGCTGATGTCCCCTGTGTTTGCCACAAAGAAGGGTCCTGGAAGGGTGAGAAAATCGTCAAGAGGACAATTCACCCAAGTGCTGCACTCCAGAATTTTTTTCTTCTTCCCTTTGGGCAGCAGAGGCAGGACACCCAGGGCCCCGAGGAGGATTTTGGCTGTTCACAAACCTCGTTGGGGCAGATTTGGGACAAATTCCGGAGCCTGGCATCCAAATCCGTGGCATGGGGCCAGGGGTGAGGGAGCGGAGCGTCAGACTGAGAGTGCAGCGCTGCCCGGGGGATGCTCTGTGCTCGAGGAGTTGAACAGCCAGGACTCGTTAATCCTGCCCCGAGATCAAAGCAGGCAAATTCCCACACGCCAGAGCCCCGGGAGTTCAAATTGCCCTTTCCACAAGGCAAAGCTGCCAGCGAGAGGCAGGTGCCGGGCTCTGGGTGCCGCAGAGGTGCGCTCAGAGGAGCGCTGGGGTCTGGCTGCCGTGGGCTGCAGCAGGAGCTCTGCCTGAGCCACCTGCGAGCCCTGCCAGAGTGCGCTGGGCTCCCAGAGCAGCCGCCCTCCGCAGCTGCCCGAGGAGCTGCTCCCAGCCCCTGCCTCACCGGGCACCTGGAATGGCTTTTCCCAAGGAAAAAAGCGTCGGGGAAAGGTTCCGCATGTGCTGCTCTGCCAGGCCTGTGGGGCTTTGGAGGAGGAGAAATGGGAGTGAAGAAATCCGTGGCAGCGGCAGAGGGAAGGTTGTTTTTTGTGGCAGAGCAGAGAAAATCCTGATTTTCTTCCATGAATTCTTCCTGCCGAGCAGCACCTGAAGCCCTGAGAAGCTCCCCCTTCATCCCAGGGATCCCGTCCCAGCTTCCAGCCTGGAACCTCTGGATGCAGAGTGTCTGCGAGTGCAGCCTCCTCTGAAATGGGAATTTTTCCCCTCGGGAGGAGGATCCTTCCCAGAGCTGGGACCTTCCCCTGTCCCCCCTCACTCCCTGGGGTTCTCCAGGGCACCATTTCCCTGCCACCAGCACATTCCCAGGGGAAGAATTCCCAAATCCTGCCTCCCCCAGCCTTGGGAGAGCACAGCAGAGTGAATCCCTGTCCAGGAAATGGCTTTGGAATGACTTCAGCTGCATCCCCCCTTCCCAGGGGTTCAGAGAGTTCTTTTTGGTGCCTTCTGCTGTCTCTGAGGGTGTGAGTGTCTTGGCTCCTCCAAGGATCACAGCTATGGAAGGGATGTCAGAGCTTCACTCCAGGAATGTTTCCAGGACAGTTTGTACAACTGAAACCAGTAAAAAAGAAAGGGAAAATATTCCCCCATCACAAAAAAAACCCAAAAAATCAGTTGGTCTATGATTTTATTGCCAGAGCACAGGGCCTGCTCCAGACTCAGCAAAATCCAAGCTCGAAGCTGCTGGAATGCAAAGAGCTCTAGAGAATTCCCAGTTTTTTCCACTCCTTTTAGTGCACAGAGAGGAACAAACATCAAAACCACCTGAGAGGAGCTGGAGTCGCTGCCCCGGCCTTTTCTGCCTCATTTCAGCCACATTTCCTCTCTCCCTCTGGGACTTCTCCCAGCAGCTTTGGCATTCCTGCCTCCCGGAGGGATCCAGCAGCTGGGTGTGGATCCAGAACCAAGGCAGCCCCACATTCCCAGAGAACTCCCGAGTGCTCGGCAAGGCGAGAGCCAAGATTTCCTGAGCTGCCCTCTGGAAGGGGCTGGGATCTCAGGGCCCTTGGCTGCCTTGGGAATGGTTTCAGAGGGAATTCCATCCCTCGGGTGGGCGAGGAGGATGCAGGAGGAGGCCCAGGAAGGGATTTTTCCAGCTGGCTGTGTGTGACTGGAGCAGGGAATTGGGAATGGCGCTGCCCCGGAGCCCCTGGGAATCAGTTCCCACCGAGCTGATCCAGGGAAAGCATGGGAGCATCCCGGGATGCTGGGCTCAGCAAGGGAAGGAATTTCCTGCTGAGGCAGTGCTGACCTCTGCAGGGGGAGCTCCTGATTCCAGGCAGATGCCAGGCAATAAATACAAATATAAGTAAATAAAAATAGAAATGAAAATATAAGTAAATATAAATATACGTAAATATAAATAGAATTAAATATAAATATTAAATTTAATAATCTACTGAAGATTTTATATTTTATAAAATAGTATTATACTTTAATTAAGATTTTAATTAACTAGGTAATATCTTAATATTAATGGTTTATATTTATATTTAAATTTAACATGTATATATTTAATATAAATACATATATTTATGTATATGTATTATATGATATATAATATTATAGATATTATCTATATTTATTATATATATTTTTGGGTATTATATGTATTATTTATAATGTAATATATGTATATATTTAATATAAATACATATCTTAATTATAATTATAGACACAAAGAAATATAAATATAAATATAAATGTAAATGTAAATGTAAATATAAATATAAATATATGTAAAGGAAGGAGCTTGGAACAATCTATTCTGCAAAAGAGAGGGAAATTTCAGGGATTTGTAAGACCCCGGCCCCTGTTCCGTGCTCTGGAGCCCTCACGAGTTCCCAGCGTGGTTTGGGCTTTTCCTTCCCTGGATGCAGCATCGGGGCTCCAGTGCCCTCCTCCGGCAAAACCGGGAATTCCAGATGGGATTGGCACCGCCAAACCGGGAATTCCAGATGGGATTGGCACCGCTAAACCGGGAATTCCAGATGGGATTGGCACCGCCAAACCGGGAATTCCAGATGGGATTGACACCGCTAAACCGGGAATTCCAGATGGGATTGGCACCGCCAAACCGGGAATTCCAGATGGGATTGGCACCGCTAAACCGGGAATTCCAGATGGGATTGGCACCGCCAAACCGGGAATTCCAGATGGGATTGACACCGCTAAACCGGGAATTCCAGATGGGATTGGCACCGCCAAACCGGGAATTCCAGATGGGATTGACACCGCTAAACCGGGAATTCCAGATGGGATTGGCACCGCCAAACCGGGAATTCCAGATGGGATTGACACCGCTAAACCGGGAATTCCAGATGGGATTGGCACCGCCAAACCGGGAATTCCAGATGGGATTGACACCGCTAAACCGGGAATTCCAGATGGGATTGGCACCGCCAAACCGGGAATTCCAGATGGGATTGACACCGCTAAACCGGGAATTCCAGATGGGATTGGCACCGCCAAACCGGGAATTCCAGATGGGATTGACACCGCTAAACCGGGAATTCCAGATGGGATTGGCACCGCCAAACCGGGAATTCCAGATGGGATTGACACCGCTAAACCGGGAATTCCAGATGGGATTGGCACCGCCAAACCGGGAATTCCAGATGGGATTGACACCGCTAAACCGGGAATTCCAGATGGGATTGGCACCGCCAAACCGGGAATTCCAGATGGGATTGACACCGCTAAACCGGGAATTCCAGATGGGATTGACACCGCTAAACCGGGAATTCCAGATGGGATTGACACCGCTAAACTGGGAATTCCAGATGGGATTGGCACCGCTAAACTGGGAATTCAGTATTGACCCCTCGCAGCCGGAATGTGAATGGAACTGCTCCTGGATGAGGAGTTCAGCAGGAATTCTGCACCTGGGAATGCTGCAGCTGTGGGGAAATGTTGGTGTTTATTCTGTCAGGCACTGAATAATGAACACCACGGAGCCCAGGAGCTGAGTCCCTCACTCTGAAGGTCTTCAAGAGCGCTCATGAATGTTCTGACTCCTCAACATTTCCATGCTGCAAAATAATTGATATTTTCCCTTTTTTCAAAATAATTGATATTTTCCATTTTTTCAAAATAATTGATATTTTGTCCCCTCTCCTCTTTTCCAGATCCTGTTTGACCAGGCCCAGAGGTCAGTCCGGCAGCAGCTGCACAATTTTGTCAAAGAGTGAGTGTTTGGTGTTTGTCTTTTCCCTTTGATTTTCAGTGTCCTGAGCTTCCCATTCCACATGTTCTGGGTGTGCTGGGAGCAGAACCAGAACCTCCCTGCAGGGCTGATCCTGCAGGACACATCCCAAAATCCATCTGCAGGGCTGATCCTGCAGGACACATCCCAAAATCCATCTGCAGGGCTGATCCTGCAGGACACATCCCAAAATCCATCTGCAGGGCTGATCCTGCAGGACACATCCCAAAATCCATCTGCAGGGCTGATCCTGCAGGACA